GAAAACACAATAATTTGTATATAAAGATAACCTCTCAAAACGACTTCCAGCTTGTTTTCAATTCTGCTAATGCAAATAAGCAGCTGATTAGTAAGTGATTCAATTATTTCGTCTATTGTGTTACTACCATCGATATGTCGAGCAATCGACAACAATAGGCTAAAACATTACCTAATTAATAAATCGATAAATAGTTTCGATCGATACGATTGCCCCAATCGAAATGTACAACTGTTTACAACAACTGATTTTTACTCCCTAGAGACTAAAATGATTTTTACTCCCAAGAGACTGAAAATGATTTTTACTCCCTAGAGAGTAAAAATGCTACTTTAGACCCGCAATGCATTAAAAACGGCAGTTTTTACTGGAGTATGACGAAAATTAAGTTTTTGTTAATTTCTTTTCAATAAACAGCCACGTATTATAGTATATTACGTTACTAGTCCTGAAAATAAGTGTTTACCGGACGAGTGTGGTCGTTCCCGAGCGAGACGAAGTCGAGTACGGGATTATCATATGAGTCCGGTAAACACATTTTGGACGAGTTACGTACGATAGTTTACGCCATACTACTAAATCTCTACAAATCCTTATATATTACCACCAACTAAAGGACTAAAAATCACTAGTCATAACCTCTAAGCGAGGTTATGTTTTTGTCTACAACCACTCATTGCCACCCAAAACAGTATAATCAGCTGATTGGTGTCCGGTAAAACTCATTGCATAACAGTAGTACGCAATGAAACCCCATTTGATTAAGCTGGCGGCAAACAGCTGTTTTCTGGACTAAATACTTGCGTGAGAAGTTCGTTAAAACAGTGTAGTATGGCGTAAAATTATTTACAAGCAAGTAAAATATAAAAATAATTGTATTGACAGTAAACATAGTTGTGATACCGTTCATAGAGAAAATCAATTTTCAAACTTATTTTACATTATGAATATATCGTGCCACGAAAATACTACGGAAATACCGTCTTGTAAGTCAACAGTATAAGTGTAAATATATTATTGCAAGTGTTATTAGACGTAATATATTTCTGTATTTTTCACGAAAATACTGTCTTAATTGTGTTTACTTTGCACATCTAAACAAAATGTTGAGAACAATTATCATCTTGTGTTAAATATTCTATAGTAACTCGACCGTACCGACGAATCTACATTTAAATGTGATTTTAGCGCGTTGTCCGTTCGATCGAGTTGTTCAGCGTCTCATCTCGTTTTTCAAGGAACACACCCTTTAAAGTCGATCAAGTCTTTATATCGTTCGTCTTTGTCTAAACTTGATAGCTTCCGTAATACACTTGCTTCCTTTACATAGCAGTAAAGTGCGCTGTATTGATATTTGCGAATTCGAAAATTACAATAGTTTAATTTTCTTCGTGGCTTCTAAAAAACTCATGTGTGTTGAATTTTTTATTTTACTAAAATGGTTAAGCAAAATGGCATGGATGTATGTATTTTATTTAATTAAACCACCACGAATGACTTATTCTTCACTCAAACCTTCTTTAGGTTTCTACGTGAGTGACGAAAGCTCTACCTGTGTACGTTATGCGGGTGTCGTGTCGCAGAGTTTTAAACACTTTTCAGTGAAAATGAACGCATTTTAATGGGTTATAACGACTCTTGTTTTGCCCACATGAAGACCTTATAAGGCTTTTGAATAATGGTTTTAAAATGCTATCCGCACAAATAAGACTAAGAACAACGTACTTATTACTAGGATGTGGCTACTCGCTGAATTGTCTTTAGTTGTAAAGGACCTTCGAGTAGCACTTAGCGAAAATTACGTGTAGATATTTTTTGAATCAAAAAATGCAGCTAGGTCCAGAATGTATTTGTCTTAAGTTCGAAGCAGTAGGTAACTTTAAATTCAGAGATGAACCCCCCATTTGGGGGGCCGTCGCACATTATGTATTCAATGTAAAACTATCTGCAAAGTTTATTGTACCAAAAACATCCGTTACACATTTGCCAGTTCACTGGGCCAAGTACGTAGTAACATCAAGTCAACAGAGAAGATGTCTGAAGACATAACGGACGATACTACACCGCCAAGTGTTGGGTTTACGTTTATATCGGGGATAAGCGCGGACTCAACGACCGTCCTTCATTATTGGCCGAATAAAACTTTCCTTCGACCACAACTTTCCACATCAAAGTGCACCTACTCTGAATTTAAACTAGGCAATTAATCGTAATTAATTCAAAATCGTCCGTTTATTATCAAGACAGAACCCGCGAAACGTATAATTAAAAAGCCCGGGAAGACGGAGACGAGGGGTCGCTGTATGTCCCGGGATTAACGTATATACATAAGTAACTGCCCCTCCCGTGCTTCTTAATGACGTAAGCAGTGAAAAAGTGTGTGAGGGAGAAACAAAGAGAAGACTTCCCGCGTATGACGGGAGAAGGGGGAGTCTTCGTATTTTACATAGGAAACATTTTTTCTCTCTCGCCCGACGCTCTCTCTCGCTCTTTCTTTTCTTATTCCTACAAGCTACAGTCTCACATGCGCGCAAATGAAATCGATTAAAATGTGAGCGCTGGTCGTCTTGGGGGGTAGTGGGTGGTATTAAAAAATGAGGTGGTAGAAAGAAGGGTCGTACGTCGGAGGGGCGCGCTAAGACTGAGGGTATTTAAAAATCGAGGATTATACATTTTTAACATCTCCCGGGAAATTGCGAACGAAACGTTGTGTTTCTCGATTTCGATTTACCAATTAGCCCCGTACGTGTGAGATGGGGCCGCCAAGTTTGGGGTTTCTTTTCTCATTTTCTCGCCCGCGGACTTCATTGTCGCAGCCCCAAATTGTCATCCGAGGAAATGTAAATCCATATAAGACTTACAATGGCTGCTGCGCCGAGCCGGCCGAGGGTTATGACATTGAGATTTGATTTGATATGCCCGCATGTGGTTCAAACTTGTATATGAATCGTTATCGAGAAAATATACTTAGACCTCCAATGTCTAAGTTATCCTTAATTACAGGGGTTTACTATAAAAATATAAGAGCTAAATAAACAAGTAAACAAGATTTTCCTAGTGTTATTACGTCCTGCAGTTACATGGTTTTTCCATCACGTGTATATATCCCGATATTTTATTCCTAGACCTACGTCATTTTATAAGAATAAAGTATCTCACCCAGTTTTCTTTAAAAAGCGAATAATTTTTATGAGTACCTATACATTAAATTGATAGCAGGTACTTCAATAGAAAGCAATAATTTGTTATGTCCTTTCTTCTTGCAACTATTAAGCTAGAAAACTATAATGAATATATCCGGACGCTTGAATCTAGTCTATTCGCCTGAGGAAACGTATATTAGCAAAAAAAAAAAAAAAAACTCTGAACTTAAATTCCAGTTATTGGGTTAAATAGACAACTGCCACAAAGTAAATACCACCTAAACATACACCGCGGTCGTGTTTAAAACGTGGTTTGGTTAGGCAAAATATAACAGTGGGTGGTTTCGATTATTATTATGATTTCCGTCGATTTGCAATTCTTTTACTCATACATGTGATTTATGTATGAGTTTTTAAAGGTAAATGTTCCTGCTAATTTATTGTGCCGAGGGTTGTAAATGTATATTTCAGATAATATTGTATTAAAAAAATTTACAAGCAGTTCGTTTTTTATACTGAGCTAAATATACGAGATAATGTTTATTAAAACAACAATGATGGACATTTTAATCCTATTTTGTCATAGTATTTGCTCACATCACGAATTAAAACAAACAACAATGCATTTTAAGTTAAAAACAAACGGTAACTGATCTCAAAAAGCCAGAGACATTTGATTTTTAAACAACCAAGGCGTTAACAGCCCCTGCAGACTGAATCTGACCATCTCCCAGCGGGATTGACGTCAGAGAGGTAACATTTTCTAGAACAAATAATTTTTAATATATAAAAAACTTCAAGCATGCGTGAATGTTTTAATACAGTAGGGTTTTTACCCGTAACAACACTCTAGGATTATGTGACTAAGACTACTTTACACATCAAACTACTTTACAGTGGTAAATGATGATACTTAAACTTATGTTTATTGCTTGAATTTCAGTAACATTTGAAAATAGATTTGCTATGGGACTCTATAATTATAATGTTGTTATACTAGGTGTAAATTGAGTTCAACCATCTCCCTCCACATAGGTCAATGCATATATATCTATTACTCTAGTGTCATCCCTTTTTCTGCAATGCGTTTTAATGGTCTAACTTAAACACAAAATGATAAGTGATTCCGTAGCTAATATATTATCAATTTATTTTCAAATAACAACAAAAACAAGTTTTATCACTAATTAATGTACACATTGTCAGAAAAGTTGTTTCTACTTATACTTACAGAAATGTACAAACTTATGTTTTGTGGTTGTTTTCCATTTGAACACAATGGGGTGTGTCAATGATTAAACAAACTCCCATTTCTACATCCTCGTAGTTAAACAAATATTCTTAGTTGTATATTATACAGCTTGCCCTAGGTTTTATAACTGAAAAGTAAATAGAAAAATTATAATATCCACCCTTAAATAAGAGAGTGTACACTCAGCGCACTCTAGAAAAACTAAAGTAATGTAAACAAAACGTAAAAATATTTATTGGTCGTTAAATAACAAAGTCACACATAGACCTCGTCAACCATGAAAATGGCGTCAAAAAGGGCCTAAGTATACTAAATAGTTTTAACACAGCCATTAAAAACCCTCAGGACTGACACTGGTACATAATCTAATTTCACTGACTAATAAAGAAAGAAACTAGGCGTCAATGATGTAGATAAACACAAACTACTTGGTTTAGTCCACGTAATAAAAACATAACCAATGCATTTCACATTATAAGTATCCGTTGGTCTGCACAACTTGAGTTAGATCATCATACTGTATGCTATTTACTATTAGAATGAAAACAGATGATCGCCAACTTTGTTTACAACAAACAAAACACTCGCTGACTTTACCAGTCGAAATGTCAGTTTCTACAAGTTCCCTGACCTCAACTTCCTCGATCGACCTGAGCCCCTACAGGGACCGAAGATTCAACGGTCCTCTGCAGGAGCAGGAACGTCTTCTCCGGAACTCCACGACCCTGTACGTCGGCAACCTCTCCTTCCACACGACCGAGGACCAGATCCACGAGCTGTTCTCCAGGTGTGGGGACATAAGGAGGGTGATCATGGGGTTGGACAGACACAAGATGACCCCCTGCGGCTTCTGCTTCGTGGAATACTACAGCCGAAGAGACGCCGAGAACTGCATGAGGTACGTGAACGGTACGAAGTTGGACGAACGACAGATCAGAACTGACTGGGACGTCGGGTTCCAGGAGGGTAGACAGTACGGCAGAGGTCGCAGTGGAGGTCAGATCAGGGATGAGTTCAGGAAGACATTTGACGAGGGCAGAGGAGGTTTTGGAAAGCTTGTGGCGAAGAAGTTATCCCGAAGAACTGTGTAGAATGGACGTATGACTTTTGACTAAGTAGAGTTGTTTAGTTCAATGTTGTTTTTAATCGCTTACGTTTATTTTTATTTATGAGTCATTATGCAGCTTATGAAGTTAGAGAACAGATCGGGTATGTTCTTGTGTTGAATTTGAGACCATCGTAAATAAATGGCAATTTAACAAGATTTTTTATAAAGAGTAGCCTACCCATTATTATGTGGTGTAAGACGAAGAACGGCAGTGTAGCTACTAAAAGTAAACTTAACAAATAATCTTGACTTGAATATCAGAATCTACACATAAAAAAGCCATGTCTGAACTATATCTGGTAGGTACGAGGGTACTAGGTATGATGTGGTAATTACTTTTTACTAGTAAAATAGTTAACATGATTACTTGGAAATACAGTTTGAAGATAGATGCTTCGTTGTATTTTGTGATTTCAAAAAATCTACTATGCAAACTTAACAAAGTTTTCCGTTTGATAAGTTTAATTGAAAATGCTAACCTGACAATATAAAATAGGATAAAAACTAGATAAACTGAAGTTTCGTTTCATGTGGGTGGTAAAACCCATATCCTTACATATTACGAAACTACAAATTGTTTACATAAATCGAACGTTTGCAGTACTTCGTTAAGCATTGTGTTGCAAGAACAGTTTATTTTAATAGGAAAGATTACTTTACAATTTTCATTTATTCAAATTTCCAAGGGTAAATTATTCATAACAGCTCATTACTCCAGTAGCGAGAAGTGGTCGAACTGATCTAGTCCTGAATTGTTGATAATTAAAATATTCAACGACGTTTTATATTGCTGGTTGACATTGGGAATCGATAACTGTAGTTTTAGTTGATCAAAGTATAAATTAAGTTGTTGTTGTTGTTTGGTTTTGAGTAAACCATAAATTGAACCAAAAAGGCGATATAATAAAAACCAAACTCATGTTATCAGCAGGTTTAATGGTGTAAGGTATAAAACTAAAAAACACTGACCGTTTCGCCGACAGTATTTAATGTATGTATGCTCTGTGAACCATATATTTAATTATTTAATTATTTAATTATTTAATTATTTAATTATATTATATTATATTATTTAATTATTAATTATTTATACTAGGAATTGTTTGTCTGGTTTACACTGTATATTTCTGTATGTATATTGCTGACGTTTTGCACTGCCTCTCATTTGACAGTATAAATTACTGTATTTGTGGTAATAGTGTTATACTGTACACTGGCTGGCTAGCTGAGTGGCTAAACAAGGCCACACTAAAGTGCTTGCCTAAAAGGTCTCCAGTTCGAACCTGAGAAAAATGTGTAGCTTTTTGTTCGACACTGGATCCAGCTGTCCCTGATCATTGTGCTTTAAATGAATAAGCTGATCTTAGCCAGTAACAGATCATTTCTCACCATTCTACACTCATCGTCCACTCATATTTCGTTTAAAATACGTACCTAAGTGGCGTCCACATCTCAATTAATTGATAATAATTGTTACGATGATAAAGATTGATTTGATTTGTAGCACACAAGACGTAACTAATATTCGTGGTAGTGCATTTAAAAGGAGGCGTTTAAAGCAACCGTATTCAGGTACCTGAAATTGACCAACAATTAAAATAAAGCTTAAAATTACTTCCATGTAACAAGTATATGACTTTCGTGTTCAATTATTTGATAACTCCATGAGTAAATTGTTGTAGGATTATAATTTGTCAACGTATCAATAGCTCAATCGTTTAATATTTCAATAATTCGACATTTTTAAATATTACAAAATTCAAAACTGAACTCCCTAGTAGTCTACAAATCAATGTTAGACCATATTTTTTCACGAATATTTTGCCCAATATTCCAATGAATAAATCAATAAATGAACGGACTATTTATTTTTTTTTAATTATTATTCAATAATATCATTATTTTACAATTCGGGACTTTTAGGTTCAACAGATAAAATAGGTTATTCATTGTGTAAAGGGGAGGTGTTTATGCGAACAGAACATATTTTATCCATCCCAAAAATGTAAGTATTCACTTTATGATTCGCTTATTGAACTAAACAACCACAAAAAACTTTCGCCGACCAATCTTCCGATCTGACTTGGCATTCTCTGCCCTGACAACGGTCAACCCTTGCAGTCAGCAAACTACAGACACATCTGCAGAAGTGATAAGTGCTCTACTATTGACAAGACGACAAGTTATAATTGTAGCGAGGCCTCAAGCAAGTCTTGCCAACTCGGTCCAATCCAAGTTGTCCCTCAACTGATAATCCATGCGAAACTTGACCGATTATATTGTTATCAGAAGCTACTGTAGTACGTGTTCTGTTGTGCGACGTGGTTCGGCTTCTTGAGAAGTTGACATTGGGGTCAGAGTAGTTCATATTGGTGATTTGCGGTGTAGTCCGGTAATTAAAGAGAAATATATAGCGGAGGTTCAACAAAATTGATTCAAAAGGTTTTTCAACGGATTTCATTAGTTTTATACCTCCACACAACACAAAAAAAAGTCTACCAAAATCTGACTTGGGGAAGTACCTGAATTATGGTATTTAAATTAAAATAATAATTTCTCCATGAAAAAAAATAGATAAAAATATTGTTGCTATATATAGGTTGTAGTATATCGTTTTTAATGTTTTGAAGGGTGGGGAAACTAAATATGCAACTTAAAATGTGATTTGACGTCAATTGACACCACAAAATGGCCGCCAAAATAGATTCATGGGGAAAAAACTAAAATAAAACTTACTTTTAGATATAGGGTGTAGTATATTGAATTCAATGTTTACAAGGGTGGCAAAACCAAAAATGCAACTTAAAATATGATTGTATAAAATATAAGGTCATAAGAAGAAATCACAAAAATACGCCCCATGGGGAGAAAAGTTAAAAAAAAACTTGCCTTTACAAGTTGTAGTAAGGCGATTTTAGCTTTTACAAATGCTAGTAAACTAAATATGCAACTTAAAATAAGATTTTACATCATGAGACGGTGGCGTAAGATGTGATACCGGGGCACATGGATTATTTTTACATAGGGAATAATAATGGTATTTTAAAATATTAATAAATCAAATTCAATGAACACACGTTTGAAAAGGGAAAAAGGGTACTTGGTCCTAAACCTTAGACGCTCATACTCTTCATACACGCTCGTTGCGGATGTAGTACCAAATAGAGGCCCTATGGAATAGGAAAACTATCCGTTATGAACAAATACCATGATCTCAAGGAATTCACTGCATTGACATGTGGTCAGTGTAAAGGGGTCACATGCACAAATGGGCAAACCCTTGATTTCAATGAAAATAAGTAACAGAGTAATTTCTTTCATAGTAACAATCTCTAAAAAGGTGACAAATGATAGATATGTGGGACTATTGTTTAACACTTTAGTCAGTTTTAACAGTATTTTATTAGCAGTATGAATTCTCGGCTGTATTTATATTAAAAAGTGTGTTCATTGAAATCGAATTATTTCTACACTATTATACCATTATTTTAATACAGTATCCTATGTAAAAATAATTCATGTGCCCCGGTACCCCGTCTTACCGTCTCATAATGTAAAATCTCATTTTAAGTTGCATATTAGTTTACTGGTATTTTATAAAAGTTAAGATTGAAAACTAAAACCTAGTTCCAAAGATAGGCTATTTCAAGAGACGTTTCTGTAATTTATTTTCCGTAAATTTAATAATAGTGGAAGAATATTAGGAAAATCTACCTAACAAATTAAGACTAAGTGGAAACTTTGCACAGTTGTTTAGTAAGCCTAAATAAATAAAATTTCAAAAGTCCCCATAAATCCCTGCTGTGCTTCAGCCGCCATCTTGGAAAATGGTGGCCAATTTTCACTTTTTTGACAATATTATTTCACAAACTATTGGTATTAGAGAATTTTTGTAAACACAAAAGTTAAAGAACGTCTAAAGATGCATCTTTTTATATTACAAGGTTTGCTCTATCTCTAATGGTTATTGAGATAAATAATAAAAGTTAGTATTAAATAAAAAATTCCCATGTTATTCTTATGGAAGAAAATAAATTTGTTGCAGTTTGCTTATTTATGGATATATTTTTATCAAACTTGGCAAATTTATTTATTTTATACTAAGCTATTAATATTTAACATAAATATACACTTTAGTACCCTCCCTATAGCAGTAAACCTATTACTCGTTAAATTTAAAGTTATTTAAATAGGGAATCTATCTTACATTTTTAGGATATAGTTTTAGCAAATGGATATTCATTTTTCAATCATATTAACAATGTTAATCATTTTTCTTATTGGTATTACGATTTAAAGCCCACTTACTTTTTTGTCACTATCATGTAACTACTAAAAACTTAAGTGGTACCTACGTTATTACTCCCGGTATATTTTTTGTCGGTAAATATTAGGAAATTGAACCTTAAAATCCGGACTAAATTGAAATTTTGCACAGTTAAGTACAGTGAGACTAGTTGAAAATACCGGCTGTGCCTCAGCCACATTAAGTCCGGATTTTAAGGCTGAATTTCCTAATATTAACCGTCAACATAATTATACCGGGAGTAATAAGTAGGCCTACCATGTAAGTAGTTACATAGTAGTGAAAATATAGTGAGTGAGCTTTAAACTTACTAATATTAATAAGGGAAAACTATTGTTAAAAAAAATAAATTTCCATTTGCCGGACTGGATCATTACTAAAATATATCCTAAAAATTTAAGATAGATTCCCTATTTAAATAACTTTAAATTTAACGAGTACTAGGTTTACTGCTATAGGGAGGGTACTAAAGTGTATATTTATGTTAAATATTAATAGCTTATTATATAATAAATAAATTTGCCAAGTTTGATAAAATTATATCCATAAATAAGCAAACTGCAACAATTTTATTTTCCTCCATAAGAATAACATGGGAATTTTTTATTTAATACTAACTTTTATTATTTATCTCAATAAACATTAGATATAGAGCAAACCTTGTAATATAAAAAAGATGTATTTTTAGACGTTCTTTAACTTTTGTATTTACAAAAATTCTCTAATACCAATAGTTTGTGAAATATTGTCAAAAAAGTGAAAACTGGCCGCCATTTTCC